ACATACAATTAGGTGGTTTTTTTTTAACTTTTCGGAAGGCAAGATGAAAATCAATGTGCATGCGCGTGGCAGCGCGAAACAGAGGTGCGAAGCCATATTGCTCTAATTTGATGGGGTTAAGGCAAATGCTCCCATGCTCAAGCTCGGAAAATTGATTATAATGAAAAAGTTAAGGAATTTTTGAGGAAAAATTGCTTCCCCCCCCCCCCGCCCCTTGAAAAAAATCCTGGCGACGCCCATGGCGAAAGCTTCTGAAGGATTCCCTTTGCCACTTAATACGAGTGTCACCCCGAAACAAAAATATATTCCATTTCTAACTTGCTATTTTTCTAACAACACAAAATACGTTCACGTTCAAATGACACATCGACCGACAAAATGGCTACATTTAGTTAATGAATAATTACTTTAAAATTTCGAATTGGATGACAGACATTAGTTTTTGTTCTATTGACACGAGGTCGACTCAGTCGTTCCTGCCCCAGAGTCAGTTTTGATAATGTATGGACGGGAGGCAGTTTGCGGATCTACAATCCTGGCCAAATCTTGCTGGGCCCCCAACCCCCCGGCCCCCGTTCAATGTTGTCTCTCATTGCGCGGTGTGTGCTCCATCAGCTGGAGAGAACAACATTGAGCGGGGGAGCGGGGGAGTGGGTGACCGTGGCAGGCTCAGGAAGTGTCCCAACCATTTTGGCCGGGATTGTAGTCTGTTTGTGCCCAAAACACCCCTCCCTTTTTCAGAGGGATGCAGAAATTCAAAATGAGAAAACGAAAAGGGGGATTGGGTTGGAATTCATCGTGCAAATTGTAAATTACGTTAATAAGAAAGATTTTATTTGCTGTAGAGTACGGAACGGGCAGCTTTAGTAATGAACCGTTTGGATTTTCCCTCGTATCCACACCTCAGCTCAAACACGACACGTGGGAAGGAAAGTGCTAAAGCACTGGCGCCCAAAGCATTGTGGGACTGAGCTACCTGCCTCAACCAATGCCCGTGCTGTCTGCGCGCACGTGTCACGCGCAGGCGGAAAGCTTGACCTGAGTTATTATTCAAACAAAAGTTACTTCTATCCAATGAGGGCTCGAGGTAATACAACTATGGAAAAAGTAGCCCTTTCCAGCACCCTGTTTGAGCGGTGGGTAAGAGCGACGTTTGGGCTACTCTCTAAATTCTAAAGAGTAAAAATTCACTCCATTCGAGTGAAGATTCACACCCACAGTCGGAAACTAGGGACTAGACGTTTTAGAGTAAAATTCCTTATCGTAAAGATCGAGTTTTCACTCGAGCTTTTACTGAAGTGGTTCTTTTTTCAGACTCTTCCAATCGAAAATGAGAGTGATTTTCAATCTAAAACGTCTAGTCCCAAATTTCACTTTTTGGGATTTAGAGAGTATATAGGCTAGCCATTTCAATGTCGATTCTGGCTTGATCTCGTCGTGCGGCACCTCCCCCACCACCATTTTTTGAGAGCGGCCGATGGAACACAATGCCGATGTACTATGTCCCCTCACTTATTTATCCCTGTGCGTACAGATATTTATCAAAGTTACACAAATTGTATTTCGACCTTGTAACATGCTCCAAAATGTTGCTCGTCGGGAAAAAAAATAACATTTTACCTTCCTACAAAAACACATCATGCAAGGAAGTACATTGGCGTGAAACGTGCATATGTAATGAATAATAATATTCTAACCTGCAATTCCAAAGTTTGATGAAGAAAAAGGGATATGAGCGCCTCATCGTATTAGATGGCAAGGAGGAGGAGGGCGGCAAGTGCCCCCTACCCTCCCCCCCCCCCCCCCCTCGCTGTTCAGCCACCCATGGGACAGATAACGGCCTTGGATTGATACTTCTCGATCCGTTTCAATGGAGCAGAAGATAATCTCCGCTAAATGACAGTCGTAGAAGAAATCGGATGAAGACACATGATTAAAGAGCATCAGTTTTCAAGGCCGTTTAGTTTGGGAAAAGGGACATTTAACTTAAAAGCAGCTGTATCGATGTCCTTAAGGTTCTTTGACCCTTTTCGTCCTTGCCATTAGTACGGCAGATAGGTGATGAGACTGTTCATTGGATGATAAAGCAACGGCTGCCATTTAGAAAATTCGGAAAATTGCTTGGTATTCTATGCTATATACGTATAGTTTTTCAAAAGGACAAATCTGCCACAGCCCACTAGCCAAATATCTTTTTTAAAGGGAATATACAACATTTGCAAACATCAAACAAACAAAACTCCCAATTTATTGCAAAATACCTTACAAGACTGTTTAGTGCCTGACAGTCTAAAGCATACTGTAAAATCATGGCACCAGGTGTGCTGATATTTTGAAGGAAAGTGCTATTTTTTTTGTATCAATTTCCAACGCTGGTCGGCCGAACAGCGTTGGAAAAAAAACTGGCTTTTTCAAATACTAGCCCTAAATTACCATATTTAGTTGTTGTTGTTTTTTTTAAAATAGATTATACATCTATGAACGGATACAAACCAATTAGACTGTTTCCCTGACATTACAATTCCCAGGGTTCTCATCCTAGGGGGCGTGTGGGGGGGGGGGGGGCAATAGGTTACAATGTGGGGGGGGGGGGGCGCCCCAAAATGTCATCTGTGCTGAAAGGCAGACGTGTTTTATTCACCGGACACCCTTACCTCCATAAAATCAAATAGTGAGGGGGGGGGGCTGGCTGGACACCATCTCCCCATGGGGGCACTGTTCAAAACCTATATCATGGTTAAAATTAGACAATAACTACCGCTCTTTGCTTTCCAGGGACGTTAAAATAAACAGCCACTCGCGAAAGAAAGAGTTTTGGTGAAAAATACGCACAAAATCGCGGGGAAAGGGGCTTTATTGTTCCAGCGATTCATACGGCTGATGTGTTTTTCTCTGGATACCAAATTTCCATAAACTCCTCCCCCCTTCCGTTTAGCTTAGTTCTAGTCTGAGTCTTTCATTGGAAGAAGTTTGTCTTTTGTCGTTTAAGGTTCTGGGGAGTAAATCCGAAGAAGGGATGTATGTATCCCCTCACCTTTTGACCCGATGGATGGCTACTGGATCATCCCCCCCCCCCACACACACACACACAGGAACCCAAACGTGTGTTCACCGTCGATCGTGGACGTCCTACGTCCCACTTTTGTTTGTACTTAAACTTTCTAGGAAGACTTCCATAGGTTTTGTACACGGCCCCAATCGCGGACGAATGCTGGGAATCGTGGACGATATTGTTCTCTTTTGTTCTCTGATATTTTTCGTCCACGGTTTGAACAGATGAACACGTACATGTTTACGTTACATATACCTAGTGATCTGATACACCGTGCCCTCTAGAGACGTGCACACAATAGGGAACAATTGAGAGCAATAGATTGTATACGTCTCCACAGGGCAATTTCTATAGATGAATACGTCTCCACAAGATGCACGAAATAGATATATGGATGTTACTCAAAAACTTGGAATTTTCAAGGTGGGTTGATCCGTCGCAAATGGAAGAGTTTTAGAAAAGGGGTATTAAGTCCGAATTTCAGCCGAGGAAATTAATTTTGGTTAAAATAAGAGCATTTTGAAACTTCACTTTCAAACTTGAAAACTTTACTACATGAGAACAAAGAAAATGTCTCCATGCAAAAGGATACAAATTTCAGTATGTGTGTGGACATTCCCTTGCTTTCGTGTAGTTAAAAAACCATTTTACTCTCACTGTGAAAACACTTTTCAATCATTTTTTTCCTGTGATTCCCATTAATGATTCTCTTCATTTTGACACAGATTACCCTCACCCCAAAATGCCTCTAAACCTGTTTTCCAGAGAGGGGGAAACTCTGTGTGGACTTGCCCACGTCCACACAACGTCACCGCTACCTGGTTTATGTAGACCGCTTTTGTCCGGAAGTCCACACAGTGAATGTAATGCCTATCCACACAGTCACACTTTTCCGAAATGAGAAACCAAAATGGGGATTGTGAGGCATTTTTCGTACTACTTCCCGACAACCAAAATGGCACGGAATTCAGAAACACTGAAAAACCGTTTGATATAAAATCAAGGCGTGTATTAAAGTGCAAGTTTTAATAAGATATGCATCCGTACCACGAAGAACAGCGCACCCTTGTGTAATGCGGTGTCCAGCCCTCCCTCCCCCCCCCCCCCAGCTTTTCGAATATCCAAGGCCGGGCAAGTTTTCAAACAAACAACGAATTTAGTCGGACTTAAAAGCTGTTTTATGTATTCAAATGATTAAGCAAAAATTAGGATAACGGTATTTTAATCCGTTTGTGTGGACCAAACAAAATATTGTTCCATTTTATGCAGTTCTGCGCCGTCAGCAGGCATTCATTTGAACAAAACTGGTGGGGGGGGGGGGGGGGGGTCGGAAGATTTGAGGTTCACGACACGATATAAATGTTGATCATATTATGCACGTGATCATGCATAAAGCAACGCTTACCCCCGCCGTGCAAATAGTGCGCTGGGAAGGGCTAATCTGCGCCGTTCACAGAATTTTGTGAAGGATGTACGGATGACATTCTGGGTAACTTATCATGATCTTCGCCTGCAGTTTGCGCGCAACGTGTGATTAACAGCTGTAGCGAGTTTGTGCGCTGCATCACGTCACAGGTCACGCAAATTCTGTCCAATGAGAGCTCAATCAGCCGTTCACAGCGTCCTGTTTGCAGGGCGGGGGCACGAGAAAAAGGACAAATCGGATGCTAGCTTATCCGGTACGTTTTATAGTGTGACGCCACTTTAGTTTGAGCCACGCCTACTGCATTTTAAGTAACACTGGAACCATTGGAACCGGATGTTAACGCAACTTGTATCCATAATACAATGGGCGCTAGTAATCAGCGGTGCGCACGCGTGTATGGCGAAGTCGCGAAGCCCTAAAAACAGCCAATCACGATTGAGCCATGCAGTCACGCTGACAGTAATTTGCATAATTACGAGGAAGGCGGGACAGTAAAATCATTATATAAGGGTCCTGAAACTGACAGAAACCACCATTTCATCGATTCGACGTGAGAGCAAAGTCTCCTGAAAGGCACTCAAGAACCAGAGTCGATCTTGTCCTTCGTATTTTTCGGCAGCAATTGAAGATGTTTCGTCCAGTTGCAATCTGTGCAGCTCTCTGCCTGGTGGCAGCAGTCGGCGTTGCTTTCGCCGATGAGACGGTACGTACGATTGACTCTTCCACTTTCAAACCATAGAATTATTTCAAAAAAAAAATAATTTCATCACGCGGGATGCTCAATGATTTCGATGTCGTGTGGCGCTTTTACCTTAAAACTTAAATGGTCCTAATGTATATCTTTATCCTTGAATGTGCACCTTTGTGTCCCATTTAACTTTATTTTCGATTTTCATTTTGCCGTTTTCAAGTGTCGTTTGGTTTTTATGCTCATGCGAATTTCCATGTTCATGAGCAAAAGTGTGAGGTCATGCAGGCAGCTCATCTTGCAACTAGGTTAAACGTCAAAAATTTGCAAGAAATTTGAATATTTCGCTGTCGTTGTAAACTGGCTTGTTGTGTCAGCACATGGCAGTAAGCCACTGCACCACAGTTTTTTTCTCACACAATGTTTTCAATGATCAATTTGTTTTGGTTCACGATTTGAACAGAAAACCCCTTATAAAATTAGTTTTTTAGTCAATTAGTTTTTACATTTTATTATGATTATAGAAATCAGCTCGCCGACACCACGAAGTGACCTTAACCCCTGGAAAGTGGAAAATGTGTGTTTCGAGATACAAGCGATTTAAGTTGACGATGTTTTGAAACGGTGATCTGAACATCGTTTTAGCCTCAAAATTCATATTTTGTTACATTGTCTGAAAGCTCGGATCTTGAATGTCACGTTAATGTATGATTTCATTGAAAAGAATTACTATTAATGAGTTATCAAACTAATTAACCATAACGTCACTTCGTGAAAACTCAAAATTCAGATTACGCTGTGTTCGAGTTTTCACGAAGTGACGCTAACCATGTGTACTATGCACGATCCACTATCGATCACTAGCGTCTTGGGCCAAGACTAATAGCCCCACAAACAGGTCTGTAAATGGCTCTCTTTTGAATTTGGTCTTAATCTGTCGCACCATTACAGCCATCCTGCGGGGGTAGTTGTGAGCGCGGGTTCTCGCTTCCAGGAAATGATTTACTTGACGAATTTGAGTTAAAATATCTCCAGAAATACATATCGTCCAACTAGTTCTTTTTGGAATCAGTTGTTAACAAAGTTAACTTAAACGGGATGTCAAATAGTTTACACATAATACTTCGCCGTTGATTTTATTCATAAACACAAGAAGGAGCCTAGTATCAGAACAGCAATATCCAAATTGCAGCAACTTTTTGTGCTGCACTAGCTCGCTGTATTGGTTTCTGTCCCGAACTACATCACATTTTCCGCATAAAAAGCAAACAGGCACCGGAAAAACTTGAAAGTCGAAATCAAAATTTATCGGAAAGAATTGGAACTTGCTTTTAACCGAACAGGAGAAAGCTGGTCCGAGTATCACCCGTTATCCACGGAGCCAAGGCTCCTGTATAACGTCTGAAATATCTAAGCATGCGTGACGTCATTTCATTTGTGTTTACGCACGCGGGGAGCTCGCTGATTGGTCGGTTGCTCGAGGTCATATACTCAGTCTAGTTGCATTAATCGCCGAATCTGTTTACGTATCATAGACCGTGGTCTGCTTCGCCAGGCCAAGGGAAGAAACTAAGCCGTTTCAAACTTTCAGAAGTAAACTTAGATAATCCTCTTTTCTTCCTTTTTTTCTCGACGTTTTCCACATCAAACTTAAAGAATCTTCTTTTCTTTTCCACCTTTTTTTTTCACAGGATGACCTTAAACTGAGGGCATTGCTCACTGATTTTTTGGAGAATTCCAAGAGAGGTACGTGCAGTAAAAATTTACCTTCAAAAGCCATTTTTGGGTAGCAGAACGTTGGAAAGACTTTTTTGCAACTTTATTTTTTTTTAAATAATTTTAAACCTTTACGCTTATGACTTTCCACTAGGCTGCTCGCCTATACAGGGTCAGAGAAAAAAAAGAAACCCAAATGGCAGGACCATTTTTGTAATGACGTTCTTTTTATTTATCTTGCATGGCATTGACTAGTTGTAGCATATGAAGCCCCAAAACCAGTTTCATCACTATCTGATACCAGAATTTCATATATTTTTGAAGTCACGCTAACCGGTTTTTTTTCTTTCAGTTGAGCAAAAGCAGACATTCGTAAATTGTGCTGGTGGATAGTTGGTCGTTGAGTGGACCGAAAGTGGATGAACTATAAAGTCAAAACTGGGTCGTTCACTTTTGGGGCTTCATGGTTGCAGCTCAGTCGCAAACAGAGAACACACCCAATCAGTTACACAGGGAGTCGAGTCCGTATAAGTTAATCACAGAAGCCCATCAAAATCACCGACTGTTATGAAAAGGTATAAGTAAAGCAACTACACATTGTGCTTTTTCTTGACAGGAATGCAGTGTCAGGGTAAATATCGCACCATGTGGACCAGCTGAGATAATGTTCATGCATTGTCCGTGCTTATATTGATTTTACCCCGTTTGTTTCAGGCTCCGATGGCTGCATGAAAAATTTGGATAATGGACCTATGGCGTTTAACTGGGTGGTGCAGGATGCGGACAAGTCAAGTACGTATACAAATAATGAATTGGCCCAACCCGATCGTCGGAAGTAGCCGATTTGGCGCTGAAACATGGCCCACTATTTGAACGAGACAGAAATTGACTCAGATCGCAACACAGAGCATTTATAAAATCCAATTTTCTTTTTCGAGCCCTGAAGCGGGTCCAGAACCCCACGCTTTCAATTTTTGGTCTCACTTTTTTTGTTGGCAACCCCAATATTAACAACCTGTGTTCTGGATCTGCACTTTGTCATGCACCGAGGACATCCAAGATTTAAGCAGTGGTTGGCAACATATTTTGCATTAAAAAAATACATATTAACACCCCACTACTTAAAAAGACGAGTTATTTTAGTGGTTGGTGATGGGGTTTGGTGGTTAGATATGGCGAATGATATAGGCCTAGTTGTGTTGGGAAACATTAAACACCGTTCTCTGTTCTAGCGTTTGTCTTCCATGAGCGTTTGGCAACCCACGGGGTACAGCAGCATTGATTCTGTGTGCCTTTTATTTAAACATGTTTGTTTCATTTCTGATTTTCGCTTGTCAGAGTTCGGCAACATTGGACTGTGGCTATTTAAGATAGACGGATCAGACCAGGTCAATTTCGGCATCACTATCGATAAATACGAAGAACTCATAAGAAAAACCCGGCAATGTAAGTTCATTTTGTCGTTCAGGCACAAGTTTCATTGTGTCATTTTTGCTGTTAGCGTTTCGGGTATTTGTGACCTACTGTGGCAAAACGAGGAATGTCCCCCAAACTCATGTTTTGAGTAATAAACGCCTGAATTTGGATACACTTTAAAAAAAAAAATATCGTGTCAAAATGAATATTGGGTTTTGTTTTCGTTTTTGTGAGTAGCCAAAGTATCCAAGATTCACGCTATGTTTTTTGTTGGGGAAAAAATCCTCAAAAGTTGGAAACTGAAGAGCGTTTTCCACTGCCGTTATCGTATTTCTTTCTTCAAAGCCGTTTTTTTTCTCTAAATGAGGTTGGCGAAGTTGGTTTAATTAAAAGTTGCATATATATCCCATGCACATGCTCCTAAAAAAATCGCGTTTCTATAATGTCTGCTTTGTGTTAAAGGAAACAAATATCTATACTTTTCATGTTATGTAGGGCCTCTGCAACCCTCTTAAAGGGCGTTAATTTTTTAAGGTTCCTGTTGAGTGGTCACAATTTGGAGGAAAGACGCCCCTGGCGAAAGGATCGAGCCGCAAATCTATCGAATTTTGTAAAAAAAAAATAATAATATAATAATAATTATAATGATAATAAGAATTTAGGTTTTCCCGACTAACTTCACGTAAGGGGTTGATCTGCAGGCATTCCTTTTCATAATTGGGCAACATATTTCACATTTTGTCAAACATGTTATAAGACTCCCTGCATGAAAACTTCTGAATTATCTCGGCCGCGGCGCGGCGTAAATCATAGCTGATGGCGTAAATCATAGCTGATGTCTTCAATTCGTAAATGCACACCTCTCTTTCTTAATTAAAGGGTCCGAGCAATTATTTATTTTCTCAGGAATACATTGTGTTCAACTTTCTACTAGCCTTAAAATGTAAGAAAACTACACATTTTTCATCCTTGTTTTGGTTAATCTTTTGGCAAAGTGCACGTTTTTAAACATGACAGTACAGACAGTTCCCATGCTTTTCCTTACTACTGAGCGCGCTGTTGCTGTGGTGTAATTTGATTTTAGGAAGACAGTGTTCAGTTCAGGTCTGGGGTTTTCTTTCAAATTACTCACCCAAAATTTGCTTATTAAAACATTTGTGAGAAAGGATTGCTCAATGGCTTACTGCCATGTACTGACACAACAAAGAATCACCAAAGAAACATAATTAATGGCGGTAAACTATGCAAAATTCTAGCAACTTTTTTTGTGCTGAAACAGCAATGTAACACTAATCTTCCCGCAATGACATCAAAGTTTTGCTCATGAATATGGAACTCTGCGTTAGCATAAAACGGAGAAGGCACCAAAACACCTTTCAAAATGGAAAAAAAATAAAACATGAAAATAAGGTTAAATGTGACACAAAGATGTATTTTTAGATTTGCATTGAATAATAATTATATACTTTGCATGGGCCCTTTAAAAAGTATTCGGTCAGACATACGCAAGAATCAGAAATTACCCGAGAGAAGTGTTCGTGTCTCCTGATGGTACAACTGTTGCCAAACACATGCCCCGATGTCTTTTTGTGCACGTCAAGAAATCGTCAACGTAAAGAAGCCCCTTTATCAACGTTTAAACAAGACTTAGTAGAAAAGTATCAACAGTGAAAAAAGAAATTATCTTAGCCCTTTACATTTCATTATTTTGGTACATATTGTATCTCTCATATCAGTTAATTTGTTACACTGTGAATTTACAGCCACGAATGGGTTTTTTTAGCCTCAGAGGAAAAAGGAAAATATATCAATTAAAAAGTGTTATTAGTTTGAATGACCAAACGATGAAAGTGATTGCCCATAAACAAATTAGAAACGAAAAGCATGGAAATGCGTTATAAGTGCACCGACGTTCGCTAATTTGAATGCGTCAACCGTCAAAAGGTTGCAAAGAAAGCATCAAATTAAGTCTTGAATGCACCAAAACGAAAACGAACATTCAGGGCAAAATCTTGGCTGCCTAAAAATGAAATTGAATGCCCCCAAAATGAAAAAGAAACCCCAATTTGATCAAACGTGCAAATCTCACGCGAAATTGAATGGCTGATAATGAAAATGATTAGAAAAATAATTTTTGGATTGTTTCCCCGGTTACATTTCTCATTCAAAAGTGAATAAAATATTTCCATTTAACGACAATCCATTGAAACCACAAAGTCTGTGTTAAAATTGCACGGGGATTGCAACAGTAAACGTGACCCCTTCACCTGATAATAAAAACGGCGCATTTCAAGCTTTTGTAATGTGCCGTTAGTTTCTCCGAATGCTTTGTCTGTTGATGGCCGTCTGTCCGTTTTGTCTTGTATTGCATCCCCAGTTCAATATTCAGCCACCGCTTTTACCGAGAGGTGCCTCCATTTTCGCCTTTGCTAATTTTAAGTTAATATATACTACGTCAATAAACACTTGTTTAAGTATACACCGAGTGTTAATCTACATTTAGTTGTATTTTATGAACTGTAAAATTGAAATAAATGTGAATGCACGAACATATGTTTCTAATACATGCCTTAAAAATTACTTTTTCCAGGGACTCCTCAAAAGGGGGCTCACGAGAAGAAAATCGATTTCGAAACGGACGATGCTTACTTGACGATGACCATCAACTTCATGGATGGAACTCCCGTGTCCGCCTGTCTTGCCAAGTCATAGGCTCCTGTCTCCAACGACTCGTATTTACATTTTGATTAATAGCAATTTGTGAATTATACGACTACGATGTATTTTGTTTTAAAAACTTATTTACTGAGCAGAATTTGTTACTAAGGTGTCGGGTTAATTCAAACTAATAATATCCGGTTTGGTAGTGTGACGTCACTTCAGTGTAAACCACGCCCACTGCATATTGACATAATATTGGAACTGGAAGTTAACGCAACTCGAGTGTTTATCCAATGGGCGCAAGTAATCAGTGGTAGTGGGCGCGCGTATGACGAAGTCACTAACGAACCGGATTGCATTCTTTTGCTTTGTAGTCTCTTGTTATTTCATAGTAGCTTACCAGGGTGTCAAGCTGCACTACGCTCCCACCACTACCTGCTCAGTCTCTCACTCTGGTATTGAATCATTTGCATATTATCCGAAATTTTAGGTAGGTATGCAAATGAGGAATAGCCTGGTGCCTGCCTGTGGTTAAATTTGTTTTTGTATGTGGGGTCTGGGGTAATCAATTCGTCGCGGCGTGAGTTACGACCGTGAAGCAGGATTTGTTTTTTATATCTTATCCAGCCAATATGCTGTATCACATTTCATATTAATATGAGCAAATTGGAAAAGAAAGGAATTATTTTGGAGAAGGTGTTGACGTAATACAACGAACGCGAAAACACGCAATACACGTTGGAAATAACAACACCAAGTACATGATATAACGTTATACCTGCTAATATAATTGCCTAGGGAAGAGGTTGGGAGCTTTCTATTGTACCCTTTTTCGTTGTTTGATCAAATTTATTGTCTCGTTGTTTTACTATTGCGTTTACTATTTGTCTTTTGTTGTTTTCTTGAAGCTAATAAAGGTTATACTAAGGAAAGAGCAAACCAGACTATCACTTCAAAATACATGACTGGATAATCACAGTAAAACAATCCATTATTTTTTTATTTTTTTTTTTAAATCTGACACTCATGATCATACTGTCATCCAATTTTTTTTTTTTTTGGATTCTAGATGCTTTGTGGTGCGATCTGAGGCAATTTCAGACCATTTTAACCAATTTTTAATAAAAGATGGTGGTGATCGCAGTGCCTAGCTCAAGCCATATTTTCAATGGGGAGCGCAATAAAATCCTAAAATCATTCACACAAATGCACCCTTGTCACGACTATTTCTGTAGGGGGAGACCGTTCGCATGTACATGTACATCACAATCCTTCTTTTTTGCTAATGCAATTTCTTTTTACGGAATTTATTTTTGGGGCTAGACAAAAATTGGGGGGGGGGGGGGCTAAAGCCCCCTAGCCCCCCCCCCCCCCCCCCCCGTAGAACCGCGCCTGCCCCCCCCCCCCCCCCCCCCCATCCGCCCTTGCGTCACGGCAACAGCACCCTCAGTTGTCTGGAAAAAGCATGGACAATTTGTAATGTTTAA